AAAAACCACTGAGAATGTGTTTCTTCATACTCGTAATGTAAGCAACCAATACTGACTCTGCCTTTAATAGATCCCAGTTTCTAACTGATTTTTTTTTTATTTTATTACAGACTAAGAGCACCTTCCCAAAACCTCACTCTTCTGGCATTATTTTAACATAGTATTAGCACCTTCATCATTATCCTTAATGATATCAGCACCCTTTAAAATATTATCGTGTTACTATACCTGCATTTCTCCACTGACTGTAAATGCAGGCAGACTTCAAAATTTAAATTCATCAATAATATAACAGATATAATTATACTAAACTACAAACTTGTCAACTTCCCTCTTTACTCCATTCCAGTCTGGACAACAGCAGGAATAAGAGGCCACATTTTGTATAAATAGTATATTTTGAATATGCCCACAACTTTCACAATACTATTGTGGGAACATCCCACAATCCCACACTATCAATTCCATATTAGGTTTGTAAAGAATTTAGTCAAATTAAATATATCCAAATGATAATAAATTTAAGAGCTCAGTTATCAACAGTTCTGTAATTTCTGAGCTAGCAAGGGATCACAACACTCAACATTTAGGCTCAAGACATCAAAATACAGAATAATGGATTGTGTGTGGCAAATTTTAAACATAATTTCCACGAGACATAACCCAGCTTCTAGGCCTAATTTTCAATAACTAAAGGGGTATTTAGTTCCTATCATCTACTCAGTCAACATTGCATACAATAAAAATAGACACACACAACTCTGTCACAATCACACTTCAGCTTATATACATTCCTTTATAAAACACACAATATATGTAGGTAAAACTTCACACCATAGAATGATTACTTATTCACAAAGTAACTGTGAATCTAGAATCTTTAGTTCATATAAATTGTCACTGGTTTTTACCTCTGGGCCTCCTGACCCACTCTCTATTCCCCCATAGCCTCTCTGGCTTCAGTCTTTGAAAGAGTCACACACTGCAAAGGAATGAACTCTAGTCCATGTGATTGTTCTGCTTCTTATTTGAAAATGATTAGTACAACTTGATAAAAGCATGGAATGTAATTTGCAGTAATGGTGAACAGGTACAACTAAGTAACAGATTAAACTTATGCATGTTTAACCCTTCAGCGCCATCTGACACACACAGAATGCCTGCTGTTTACCACATTGCTGTCTTATGCGTGTAGCAGATCTAATACAGCTATAAACTCTTATCTACCCTCTAACAGTCAAACCTCTTAAAAATGTTAAATATGTTATTAGCAGCTAAAAGAGGAAATTATAAGCTTTCAGTTCATGTATGGCTAATCATACTTATATTTNGGGGGGGGTTGCTATGTTGTAAGTTTGGTCAAGGTTCACATCTCTAATGAAAATATGTGTATCTAGTAACAGACCTGAGATGCAGGATTCTTTTCAAAAGCTGATCCTGACTCCACATGTTATACTTAAAAACATGGCTTGTGCAGGAATGAATAACACATACATATGAATTCCTCTCAGGACGTGAAGTTGAACTGATATGCTGAGCAATTTCAGTTTGGGGCCAATTATGAAGGTAACAACACCACAGAGAAAATGTGTTGTCTCAAAGAAGTTAGAAGGAAAGACACTGTACAATGATGTTCAGAAAATTATGTCTGCCACTTCCATTCACTGTTCTAAGGATTGTCAGAGCAAACTTAGCTACTTAGGTAATGTCATTTTCAATATATGGTCACAGAATACAGCTGTCTGGAGAAATTTCAAAGTTCAACAAACCAAAACTCATTTATAAAAATTATGGTTTCTTATTACAATATTCTGAATATAATTTGGAAATCTGAACAGAATTCTAATAATATAATTTGGATATTTGGATATTCCTTTTTAGGTTTTCTTGGCTGTGAAACATGTAACTTCATTTTTTGGGGTTTGGCTACTTTGTATGTGGAATTGGTCCAGTGTTTTGGCATACACTATACTCACCCTGAAGATGGCGATTGCTATGCATGACAAAACATTGGAACATCGACAACATACAACAGGACTAAACTCTGAAAGCCAGAGTTACTCACTTTAATGTGGGCTTGTGGTGGTTTATGTAAAATTCTGTACTTTTTAATTTAAAATGTAACTGTCCTCTGTCTCCAATGTAAAGACACATTTAAATGTCCTATGGCAGTAAAGGGTTAAGCAACATCATTTAAAAATAAATTCTGATAACCTAATTTATTAATAAATTGAGTCCCAGAGATATATTCCCAAAGTCATGACGAAATGACACTTCATGGTTAAATTAATTTCAGTATTACTTTGGCATAATCACGGTTTATAACAGATTACAGACTATCTGATAATTATGTTGTCTACTACAGTGTCAAGCAATTTAAATATTAATATAAGCAAAAGGAATTCTTATACATGAAAGGGCTTCAGTAGTTGTATAAATTTAAAAAGGGGCTCAATAGGTTTACAACTTTATAATCTCACTAATCACTCCTGCTCCACAAAATACAATATAATGAAAGTATAAGCTAAGAATTAGGAACAGAAACAGATATATTAACAAGGGCCTGTTAACATGGACCCCTACTAATATGGACCAGTTATGACACTTTCCACATTCAAATTTCTTTGCTCTTCATACCAAACTTCTTGACATTGTGCATATGAATATAATTTAAAGTTCTGCATGTTTTCCATCTTACTTTTCCTTAACATTCAAATAATAACAACTTCTAGGCAAGTCTATAATGAGATCCACAGTACATGTACAAAGTAATTGTTCAGCCATCCTCAGATAAATTTCAACACCTGGGAAGGGAAATACCTGACAGAGACCATCATATACGATGGAGATATACAAAGTACAATAAAGAAGTCATATGAAGTAAGTTCAAATATTTCATTATAATTCATCACAATCATCACACTACCTTCTGATATGCTGTGCCATGTATTCTTGTGAGAGTTCATCAATATTTCAGAGGAACATACTGTCTCTATCATAAGGGTCAAACGGCCATACCCTTTGTCAGTTACCAGCTTTGACTAAACACAGAACAGAGCTCCTCGGTTGTGCATAATTAGAGCTCAAAGACATCAGGAGGGCCTTAATTGGGATAGTTTTGGCTCTAGCGTTATAGTGAGGCCTCTCTGAAGGACTCTTTAACATGAATAGGGGCATGCAATGAACCCAGCAGCAGTCTGAGTGCTTGGGACAACTGAAGTAGTGGCTTACCCAAGTCAGTAAAAGTATAAATATTCTTTCCCCCTAAAGACTGAGACAGTATAGTTCTCAGAAACGTCAGTAAACATATCAGACTACATGTTTTCACATCCCAGAAGACAGCATTCTTTATAACAGAATTATGAAGGCAACAAGCAGAAGTCATACCAAATCATGATAACGAAAATGTTCGCAATATTTGACAAGGAGAAGCCCGACATAGAAAGTATAAGAGGATTAAACTTGGCGGTGGTCAACGCATATGACTGTTCAAGTGACTAGACTGCCGTTGTAGTGGAAGCTACTAGAAATAGGGCATAATCTGCTGTACTGAGCCTGGACTGACAGAGGCCTTGTATATATTTTATATACATTTATTAACACACTTAACATGTAAAATGTAAATATCCTCTACATTATGACAAATAACTTACTACTGCAGACAATGACTCTGACAAAAGACAGACCCATCCTCTTGTCAGCAAGGGCACCCCACAAAAGAAAGACCAAAACTGTCAAACAGTAATAAATATCTGGTCATTAGCCCCAGATTGGGCTCATACCAACACAGACTGACTGACTAACTGACTGACTGACCGACCGTCAGTTGCAATGTGACTTTCACTTTTTGAGAGTTCTGAGTTCTCGGTAGGAGACAGCCATGGTAAGTTCGTAGAAGACTTAGAGCACGATTAGGAGACTTCATTCATGTGTAATACTTTGAGGGAGGCTGCTATTTCAATTGTGTTACTAGGAGAGGGCCAGTGCACGTAAATCAAAATAGCGCTGTATTTAAATGTGATCAAGAGAGACTGTAACCAAGGTGCTAATAAATCCAATCATTTAAACTAGAACCCATCATTTTCGTTGTGTGTACCACCCTTTACATGACAATATATAGAAAATCATATTTGACGAACATTAACCCTCATAATAAGTAATTTATAAAAAAGAAACAATATATTGTATTGTATATAAAGAAAAATTAGATAGATGTAATAAGATTCAAGGCATTATCCAAAGTTATTGTACGAAGAATTCCTGTATATTACGTAACAGAAAACAATGTATAAAAATGACAAGTGTAGCAACTGACTTTCAAAACATAACTATATTGTGACATGTTGCGCAACGGAGGGCCCCTACCTCCCCAGCGGCACGTGGCGGTAACGTAGCGCTCTCGTTACTACTTGTTGCGCTACGCAGGACATCACCCCCCCCCCGGCGGTGACGTGCCGAGCGGAGCCGAATCCCAGCGCACTGGTCGCTAGTCAACGCGGATAAACAGTGGTTGCGATAGACGACCCTAGCAACAGTGAACGGAATAAAAGCCGGCTGAGTAGCAAGCGAGAGTCAGTGTGTTAGCAACAGTTCTCAAGGCAGCTACCTACGAGTTAGTTGTAATGTGGCCATCGCCGAGTTCAGTTCCGAGTTAGTTCCGAGCAAGCCTACGAGCGAGTGTGTTATCAACAGTTCTCCAGTCAGCAGCCTGCGAGTTGAGTTGGAGTATAGCAGCCGTCGCGGAAAGAAGAACTGGACGTGTGTGTAACTGTGTAATTGGGAGTGTGTGAGACAGAGAGACTTGTATAGCTCCCGTACTGTGAATACGTGTAGACTACCGAAGACAGAGTGAACTGATTTGCGAATAGGGTTATAAATCATGAAACCCCGCAACAGTGTAAACAGATTATTGCGATTAGGGTTATAAAGTGTGAAACCCCGCAACTGTGTGATAATTAAATGTAGCTGTTACTTGTAGGTTGTTGAATAAACCAATTAACAATCCGAACGGCGTCTTCAGTAACGAAACACGTTACAATATCAAAATCGGCAATAATGTCTTACAAGTCAACTAGTGTTGATGGTAATGAATTTTAAGGAAATATATATATAAGAACAGTTTGGTAATATATTAAAGTAAAAAGTGGAAGCAGAGGATAATTTATATTCTTTCTCTTTACTTTCTATGTACTTTCATTGCTGTGGTCCCTTTGCTTGCATATAAACAATCTGCTGTACAAACAATTCTTCATAATATGGAAAGTGTCACAAATATGGAATTATTAAAATAATACTACAACAAATTTTGATGAAGTTCTACATTCAAAAAATTACTAACACATATAATATTGATCCTATTATGTAAATAGGAAACCGACGACTTACAGGCTTGCCAAAGAGCATCGTCAGCAATTGTAACTATGGCACACTGAGTCCATTTATATTTTGGCAGTTCATATTTGGTTAAATTCCACTCTGTTGCATCTCCTGAAAATTGTGTTTGATTAATTACAGAACTTCCTCACAGCGTATTCTCTTGGTGTGACGATGAAGGTGAATGGGTCGGCGGTGCGCTGATAGCTGCATGGTTCGTGGTGCCATCTCTAGTGAATTGCTTTCAGAGTGCAAACTGCCACTGCTGCTACTACCAGCATTATTGCCTTCTGAGGAGGAGTAACTTTTGGTGCTTGAGCTCCTGCGAGAACTGTAGCCAGGCCGAGGTTGTGGTGGATGGTCCATGCAATGTAGTTCCTGTCTCTCTCTGTTGGTTCCTCCACTGTACAGGCCACTTTCCATGATAAGATCACCTCCTGCTCCTGAATGTTGGATGCCTGAAGAAACTGTATGCTTTTCATACACCAGACTTGGTTGTGCCATAAGACTGTTAGTGTAAACCATGTCGTCCTTAATGGCAACATATTTGGCTGGGCTCCTACTGTCATCATCTTGTTTTGGTAACAAGATAGTGATATCACTGTCACTCTTGGTTAGCATATTGTTATGATATCCATCCACTGTTTCCTCTTTTGGGTCAGGATAAAGGTGATCAGGCGTTGACACTGTAAGGCGTTGGTCATGGTGACAGGTATCAGGTTGAATGGGTGATACAACTGTACAAGAAAGAGATTGTTTGGGTTCTTGACGAGGGCTTTCGGGGGAATGTTCAGCAGTACATGCGCCAGACATGTACCCCTGATCAGAATGGCTGTGGCTTGTGGTGTGACTCTCTGCAACTGCTGTTGCCTTTGATTCTGACATTCCATCTGGTGGAGCTCTCATGAACTGCCATGAAGTATCTTCTCCTTCCTTTGCAGTAAGAGACTGTTGGCTGCCACACGTGTGCTTCTCTTGCTCCTGTGATGCTCTGCATCTAATGGTGTCCCCTTGCTTCAAGTCACCAGAGACCCCATCAGTTTCTGAAGGCTGAGCTACTCCTGGGTCACAGCATACAGGCTGAGACAGATGTAAATCTGAAGATCTCTCTTCCGCAGATTGCTTTAACTCCCTTGTCAAAGTGTCTGAGAGAGGGATAGCATGACTGAAGACTCCATCCATCATGCCTTCTAGCTTTTTTTCTCCTTTTTCTGACTCATTTTGGGAATTGGAATTTGGCTTTTGTTTGCTATCAGGAATATGTGCAGATCCAAAAATGCTTCGAAAACTCCAATTGGAGCGGACATGAGTATCTGTCTTATGGTAGGAGTCGTGTTGACGGAAACGATTCCAGAGGGAACCCTGTCCTGAGCCACTGCTGTTGCTCATGTAACTGCTTGATTCTGGCAGGCTTGTTTTACGGGGTGTTCCCGTATGTGAAGAGCGGAGTCTGGACTGTATATGACTCTGACTCTGAGACCGGAGGTGGGCTGTTCCTTGTAGTTGTGACTGTGATTGGGTGCTTGATGAAATAGTGTGCCTAGAATGCGAGTTCCCAGCCGAGGATGAAGGCAATCCATGTCCTTGAGGACCACGGTGCTTCTTAAGCTTTCCTGTGTGCAGAAATGTAAGCCATGCCATGCGAGCTTCAGGATACTGCACACACCGAACCATAAAAATGATGAAGCCTTGTAGTGAGTTGGAAATGCAAAAGATATACTGAAACACCAGTCTTGTTTCTCCCAGTGCTAGGGCTCCAAACACCCAAGTGACACCCAGAAGTGTCATCACAGTGAATGCTCCACGTATCTAGAACCAGAATAAAATCAAGACACTTATCATTAAGCTGACACATGTGTACATGTGTGATACTGTAAGAGTGTGAAATCGCTGACTTCTATCACTGAATATGTTGAGTGAATAAGAGAAAAATAAACATATGAATGCTCTTTTGATATTTCCAAGTGATTCTTACAGTCAGTAGCCAGACATGTAGAGAGATGAATGCAACATTTCCCTTACATGTGCCAAAAGGTTACAATTTTTATGCCAGAACTGATAGAATTATGAATTTTTTTCTATGAACCTTTAAATCTTCAACACCTACACAAAGTGCCACAATGGTCCTTTCACCATATGAATGAGTGCCCATGGATTTGTCTTATAAATTTTTGAACTGGACAATGGACAAAGTCCAAAGAAGATATAAACCACTTCAAAGCAGCCACTGACTGCTAAATTCTATCTGGCAAAGCGAACACTTTAACTGTGTGGTTTTGATACTCTCAGCAATGCAACGATCACTGACAGAGTGCCCACAGCTTGGAACATGTGAAGTGACAGAATTTTTCACATTCTCGAAGTCTGAATTTCTGAAGGGGTAAGTCTTAATCTGCATCCAGATCTGACCAAAAATTAAATCTGGGAACCTGAAAATGGAAGTCTGGTGTCTTACACCAAGATCATAAGGTGTTCTTAATGGTTAAATACTGACAATAAGTATGCAAATTACAGAATGAACAGTTAACAGTGAACCTGGTATATCACAAGAAATTCCAAAATTTGGAAATTATGAATTGTACATGTGTAAGCTGTAAAGTAAATCTATCCCTATAACAGGCCGTGAAGGCCTATATGGTTGTGAGATGTCGAGCCTCCCACATTTTATCTAGACAATCAACTAACAGATGGTGTTAAGTTTGTCAGCCTTACGTGCTAGCCGCCTTTTACTGCCAGGAAGATTCCCAGTACTCATTTCTGTTAGAGGCTGGATCAGCCTCAGGGCCATATTGCAACTAGAAGGATTAGGTAAATTGAAAAACATCCACCTGAATGGGACTCGAACCCATGACCTTCCGGCTTGTAGCATAGTGCCTGAACCAACTACACTACTCCGTGCCCTGTGTAAGCTCTAAATGTGTAAGGAAACAGAGCTGGAACATTGCGGTAACACTTCGATACAGCAGGGTGGAACAGTATTACTGCAGCACACGTGATGCAAACTCTTACCTGAGCCACAGTTATGGTAGGAATATCTGTATTTAGTCCAACTTTACCAACAGCATGGCCATGACCACGCCTCTGAAACAGAACTTTGCTGACAAGGATGAAGACAATGCAGTTAACAGCCAAAATGAGGCATGATGGTCCTAGATATGTGACATAATAGAGAATCGGTTTTGAAGGCGAAACCATGCAGTACTCTGAATCCGTTGAACTGTAGTACTGCATATCGTAAATAGCTGCCCCTCCCACGATGAGAAGTGGTATTCCTGAAATTACAATAAAGTAGACCTAATCAGTTACTTATATATATATAAAACATAACCACCATTTCACAAGCATACAGCAAAACTGATAACTTTTTATTTTCTTTTATCAAAACATGTTTCAACCACATGCTGTCATCGTCAGGTTGGATTCATTCATTCATTCATTTGCATTCTGTTAATCCATACAAGGTCAAACCAACCTATGGGATATAGAACCTGTCAAGATACAAATATAATATAAACATAAAATAATGATATATACATACATTCATAATGAGCAGTTAGTACGTGATAATGTATAAACTGTATATGAAATGTAAAACAGATGAGACATAAATGAAAATTTGTTGGATATCATCAAGTTTTTACATAGCATGAATAAAATATAAAGCTGCATTATCGAAGTTGTAATGAAACAGCAAAAATATTTTGTCTACTTCCTCTCATAATGAGCACTTCTTTGTCTATTTGACCAAAAAGCCGTTATCTTATGTTTATATGAGCATTTTAGCAACTCCTCCAGTGTTTTGAAGGGTGGCCGAATTTAACAGTTGGAGAGCAAAAATGTTTTTGTAGACAGAAATTGGTGTATTGGAACAGTATGTGCTCGGTATACTTTATACATTCACTATTAAATAAATAAGCTATCCCAGAACGTTTGATAACAATCATCTCTTAAACGTGTGGACCAGTTGTTTCTCAATTTCAGTAGATAGCTTAGATTTTAAATAATTTTTGTGAAAACGTTTCATTCAGCAAGTTGTATGGCAACAAATGTCAATACTCAATATAAAATTAGCTGTGCTTCTCTTCATGCAACCTGTCACCTTTAATGGTTGTATTCACAACAAATTAATGACTGGCAACTCTTTCAACAAGAGATATATATGATGCAAGGCCGCGCCATAGCTCAAGCAGTTAGTCACTGGCTTCCCACTGTGGAGGCCTGGATTCGAGCCCAGGTCTGGTCAAGTGGGATTTGTGGTGGACAAAACGGCGCTGAGGAAGGTTTTATCCAAGTTCTTCGGTTTCCCCTGCCAATCTTCATTCCACAAAATTCTCCACAATCATAATCACCTGGGGCAAGTACAATAGGCCAATCAGTGGCCAACGTGCCAAGTGGACCCAGCTGGGCTCCACCCCCCACTGTTAGAATTAAAACAAAATATATATATAAATATATCATCTTAATAATTTCTATTACATATTTCTGAGTTTTTAATGGTTGAGTTCTGTCACTTCTGCCTTCTCCAGCCTCCTAGAACACCGGTCTGTATTGAAACAAAGCACATAAATGAACACTATGCAATATGTGTAGGCTTGCTGCTACTTTTCTTGAATTTACTTGAAAGCATAGTGAACACACATGACATTGAACTTGTAACACATGAATCAACCTTGCACTTTCTCTTTCAAGATATTAATATGAAGTTACTTTGAGAAAACTAACCATAATGATCAAACTGCATATTTGTTGGACATAAAATTAATATGCTGAACCAGAGAAAAATTATTAAATAATTACAATTTTGGCACATACCCCAAGCACAAAGCATCCTTTTGCACATAAACTTGGTTTCTGACGTAGCAAAGACTGTGATGAGGAGTTGGTACATGTTGATTGCCTCAACCAGCATCCACATAAGAGATGTAAGAACCAGATAGTGGGTGAGTACAGCGACACCAGTACACACATCCACAACAATCAACAAACTGCTGTCCATATACTCCTCTATCGCCACCAGTAGGAAAGCCAGATTCATCAGAAGCAGTGATATGCAGAGATTGAGAAGAATCTTCCCGGAGCGATCGCGGTTCAGACACCTATAACAAAGCAGCAGTATCATGTAATACAACTCCACCTTGATCAAGACCTTTGCAGATCTGGTGTTTCCTATGCAAACAGATCATAAAAGTGGCCTCCGTAGTCTAGGGGTAACGTTCCCATGTCATGACTTAAGGTACGCGGGTTCAAACCCTGCGGAGGTCGTGGAATTTTTATGGGTGGAAAAATTCAGGGAACAAGTCCTCCGGGAGGGACTTCAAGCCGTGGGTCCCATGTCCCATTTACGGCACATAAAAGATCCTCATGTCTCTAGGAGACCTCTGAGCAAAATTAGGTAAGAAGTTTCCCGCCCAAGTAGTTTCCATTGCCTCTGGTAAATGGGGAAGTATCAGGTACCACTGCCAGTAGAGGGGCTGAACTCGCTGGCTGAACGGGGCTGATAGCGAGCACCAGTACCGGAAGGGTATTGCGACTGGTAGAATATCAAAGGGGGAAGTACAATAGATCAACAACTGGTCGTGGTGCATGGGGAATCCCACCCCCTCCAATAATGAATTAAATGAATGAAATAGATCACAAATGTACATATACATTACATATGAAGTACTATTTGTAAGGCAACAATTTCAAACACAGTGAACTGAAAATATTTGACATTATATTCAACAAACTGAAGTACAGGGATCTATATGTAAGTAATATGTTCTTCACAACAATAGAATACAATAATACTAATGATACAGTTATGGCCTTGAAGGTCTTCAAATATATGCAGTAGGGAATTAGTCTTTATGAGTTCAGTTCACATCTTCTTGTTTATATGTGTATTACTTCATACCTTGTGTTACAACCAAGTAACTGTTTTCTTATATTTGGTCTGCTGAAATCTTTAAATAAAAACATATAATTTTCATAATCACTATGGGGAATGCAAAATGGAAATAAACTGTTATGATCAGATTAACAGCATGGAAAACAGTTAGTGTTATGGAAACTCACCTGAATATTGAATATGTAAGGATTGTTAGGAACAGGCCAAAAATACTGCATACTGAGCCAATGTAACTGATGATACTCAGGACAGGTTTGTGTTTGTCTGGTATCGGCATTCCTACGCTTGGATCCAGAAGCACTGAGAATGCTGTCATGTGCATCGATTCACACTGGATGAAGTCCATGCTCTGGTTTGTCAATATCCCATCATCCAACCACTCCTGACCTGTCAAGTAACCAGCAAATACAACATCTCTCTCTTATTGATCATACATATTTTTCAAAACACAGCAGCACCCCCATTTAATGTCCTTCAATTTAAGATTTTCCCTTATTTGTCAATCAATTTAAATTTTCTCAAATCGACAATCTCAATATTAAATGACCTCCACTTAATAGTTTCATCAGTTCAGTGTTCAATTCCACTGCTCCTCCTTACACAGGAGTTTCACTGTAATTATACTGTCATCATATACAGGGTTCTCATATCTGATTACAAATGTATGGGACTACAAAGAAGGACGGGTGTAATTTAAGCTGAAGTACAGTGAGTTTCCATAGGCCTTCTTTGCACATTGAAACTCTGAAGGTTGCTAACTGTTCTTAACACACATATATTCCCTTATGAATGGCTACTCCCATGATGTTAACGTTTAAGAAAATCAAAACAATCCCCAAATATATTTGTAAGGACCTCTATCAGATTAATCAATATCTCCTAACAATTCTCAACCTGAAGTACACAGATGGACAGACATGAAATCCTTTGCATGTGTTCTGTATATGCACATCATACAAAGGCATAAGTGTGTAGTGTGAGAAAATGGAGTCAACTTCAATAGAAGAAAATTCTGGGGCAACCATCAATGCACATCAGTTTTCATCCCATTACAATGCAGAAGTGTTTCTGTTCAGAGAGCTTTTTCAGTAATCCACAGAAATGGAAATTCCTATGCCCAATGTTTGGTTTGAGTGTCTCATGGTTCAGACATTCCAAGAAGTCTCTGAGAATGTTGCTTTAACAGTTTTTATGGCTGAACACTAGAACTTCTGAACCACAGGACAGAACTGAAAACAGACTTCTACTGTACAATACTGCAGGATATGAATGGAACCAAGGTCTACTGGGAGCATCAAACACTGGACTCAGATATCTTCTATGCAAAAATCTATTGATTATTATATTAATAAGACAACTCCTTCATTAGTCAGGCAATTATGAGGAGCCTGTCCATTATTCCTGGTTTTCTTTGACATATAGTTGAAGCAGCAAAGTCCAGTATAACACAATTTTGGATGTTGCTTATTGAACATTTATGGAATTTGTAAGTATAGGTATGTGGTTTCCTAGCAACTCTATTATATTCATCACTCCCTGAAGTGGTACCAACAGTTAAATTCTCAAGTATTAAAATCTCAAAATAGTAAAATTTTATTCAATCATAATCATAACTTACATTATGGCATTATTTTTTTCCGGATTTCTTTTTGCACATAAACATGAAAGGAGAAATACTTGGAGATGTTTCATATGATACTATGCTCACATACAAAACTGTAACTTACTTTCTGTATTCCAGTATACACATATTTGCTTTGCATTTCTGTAGATGTTATGGAAGTTATATACTAGTAGTTCTGTCAGATTGGTGATGGTAATGTTGGAGAGGGCAGCTGAAATTACTCCTTGTCTTTTACTGATGATGGAACTTGAAGTAATGTTATTTGGTCTGAAGAACTTGCTGTTCTTGTATGAAACAAACTGGACTCTGACGCTACGTAACTGCCTTAAAGCTCTATCAAGTGCCTCTCTTGGTATGCTGATAAAAATACCCTAAAGCAGAAGAAAATCTTAATTTCAAATGAGAGGATTATATTTTTATATAATTGAAACTGTGATAAGAATTTATTACAAACAGTAAGAAATATAATAAATTAGTGTCCACATGGAAATGTAAGTTTATATATATAAGTGTACCTGAGTTATTTCGCCAGTTTCACTGACCAATCCTGAATCCATGTTCATGGTTTCTGGTGGTGAATATGACAGACCATCTTGAATGGCTCTGAATTCATCAGGGAAGACCTCCCTTGCTTCCATTGCCAAGTTGTCAGAATTTATTACAAGTCTCCGACTAGATGGCAGCTGGGCTGCAGTGAGATATGTGTCAATCAGTTGAACCAAACTCTTTGTTATACTTCCATGCTTGTCTGCTTCTTCAAGTACTGTGTCATTGACAGCCATCATGTTGCTTATCACAGAGAACATAATGCGTGCAATCTGGAAATAGTAAAGGTACATAAATAGGATAAGAAATTATCTAAAGGTGAAATAACAGGATCCTCTTTTGAAAAATAATCAGTTATCATAAAGCCTTAAGATATTGACAGACCATTTATGCTGCCAGTGTTGGTAACTTTCTAGGACAATGGTGCAGACATGTTGTTGTAAAGGGTGAATATCTAGAAATGGAGTGAGAATTTGATAATTTTGGCATGCATTTTCTTTAAACAAAAAATTAGATCCAGGTCAATCTCGAACCACCCTCATACATATAACATTTCTTCTAAATTGATCCACCACTTCTCGAGTTAAATCATTACAGTGTGACAGGCAGACAGATATGCGAGGAGACATGACCATCCTTGTATGTGTTCTCTTCTTGCATGTTGTGCAAGAAACACATAAGAAGGTGCACACTAGAGGACTTCTGTAGCATATTCACGTAATTTGTCAAATGTATAAAAATAATTTGAGAAGGTAAATAATCAGACATGTAGGATATTTGTTTGGCATTTCATTGTGATTTACAGTCAGGAGACCATTATTACTGAATAATGAGTTTCAAGTTGTAAATACTTCTATCAAGAACTTGTTTTGTTGCAGAATGTAATAATTAAGAGGCATCAGATATGGATAAAATAAATGAGTTTAACAGCACTGCCTGATTAATTAACGCTGCAGATCTAATAATATTACCATCAGACCACACAGTACAATAAAATCAATCTTTCATTTTTTTTTTTTTTTTGTAACTATAAACCAGCCTAGAATTTCTGACCCATTATCAAACTATACATCTTCACATCAGGTTTATCTCATTTTGAAGTTGGCTTGAAGTTAAACAACATATGTAACAACACTTAATTCTCATATGGTGGCACTTCATGAAATTATACAAATTTTAGATGAAATGTGATAGTGTTATCAGAGGCACATGAGGATTTAGTGATGTGTCATATATATTACAAAAGAAACATCAATACATTTAACCCAAAATGTTCAAACGAATTTCTCTGTTTACCTGAAGCTAATAATTCTTGAGGACCTACAAAAGGAACAGGAAAGTTACTATGCAGATTCCAGTATTAAACAAACCATTATAACTCCCTAATTTTTCACTCCACTAAGTTGACAATATTTTTACTTAAAACTGAATATTGTATATTATTTCCACTACTGAGACTCTGCTCACAGCCTGTGCAAGGAATTATATTATATTATTTAGTATGTTAACAAATATTTTACCTTTCTATCAACCAAAGCATAATGCAGTATCTGCTTTATCTGACTGCTTGCATTTAAGAAGACCTGAACACTAATCTGAGGTGGATCTTTAGTGAGTTGCTGCAACTCCAAGCTCAACTGCTCAGCATTTGTTGAATGCTGGAACAAATTCACAAATTTACTATTTGCACTCAACAATTTATATTTTCATCTATTATTTATAAATAGATGGCAATTTAAGTTTTATCACTTTTAAGTACTGTCAGATCTCAATAATCACATTTCATATGTTCCTGGTGATTTCCATGAATAGAAAAGGGGTGAGTCACATGATATTCTCCACTTTTGATATTCATAGGCACAAACTATATGCAGTACACCTTTAAGATGGAACCTGACACTAACTTCATCCCTACAGATGCTCTCATCCATGTTACTCCACTTCACAGAGCCATCCTTGTGACGAATGCAGCTTCTCACTGCAAAGGGTTGTCCTTTTTCATCAATGCGAAGTTTCAGCTCCCTGTCTTTCTGCTGATTGCTGACTGACATCTCATGAGCCTGCTTGTACTCGATATCTTTGAGATGAGCGTGGAGTTTAACTGGATCAGCTCTGAGACCCACTGATGACAGGGACTTCACATGATCTCCATTCCCTTTGTCTGGATTCTTGAAGAGCCTCGCAGATTCTGAATTTTCAATTGTATCTGCATATTTCAACTGATAAGAAACACAAACAAACAATTAGGTTGATGTTGCTCTTGTGATATAATTTTATTTAAGACTAGCATAAATCAGTTGAATTTTAATTGGAAACTGTTAAGTTTATTAACACAGTTCTTCAAACTGGAGCAAAAAATCTATAGTGAAAACAATCTATGAGCATGTGTAAAATTTTCTTATATAAAAACAGTCTTTTTCAAGAATGCTTAATCTAAATAACTTGCAAGAAGTTCTTAAATACAGGTACATTCACACTAAATACTAATCTTCATAGAATAATAACATGCACTGAGAGGCTTTGCTATATGGAGGTCTACTGTGAAGTCTTTTAGCACAGGTGGATTTTGCAATATCAGCTCCATCATAATTCTTCTTCTCAAGTTTGAAAAAAATTAAAAACTCTGACTGCTAAACATGTTACAACAAAAGAAAATGCATCAGCCTTTAATGCATAAGGATGAAATGACATCGTTTCCATGATACAGATATGTGGGATACTAAATAAAAATTCACAACATATATGCAGTGGATTACTGTATGTTAATTCATGCACCACACAACACATTTACCCCACCATAGCAAAATTTGGTACAAATGTATAACCATGAAGTTGAAACAAGCACGTCAGCTTAGGTTCTCCTAGGTGCCCCAGTAGCAGCAACTGGTATCTTTCTCTCTATCACTTTCCCTTCTCTTGCCATTATGACAGACTCTCTTTCTTAACCTCTCTTCCTTTACAGACCAGGATGACAATGTCTGAAGCACAATTCAAAAGCCTGCTTATTCTGGTACTGAGATCACAACCAAACAGGACTCAGATTCAAGGGTCTGGTCATATGTCAGCAAGGGGAGGGGGAGCTTTGCGTCAAACTCTAAGGGCTGACATTACAAATTTACTGAGAGGTGGGTTGAACTTGTTAAATTTCGTCATGATTGGTGTTTGAAAGTCTACTCAGATTCCTACTGCTACCCATTGCAAGTAGCTGGCATTAGCTTTCCTTTTGTTATGCATTAAGGTTGTTCAATAAGTAAGGTTCCCTACCTTATAACGTTTGTTTTAATCAAGCATTTGACTTTTTGGTAGGTGGTAGTACTTGGTAGGAGTAGGGGTAACATGCAATAAATGGCAACACTAGTGTGGTTTGCCAATTCAACAGTAATGAAAACTGTTAACTGGCTGAAAATGCAAGAGCCTGATTTCTACCGTGACAGAATTTTTAAACTTGTGCCAAAATGGGACAAATATTTAAACGTTCTTGGAGATTATGTCGAAAAATAATGATACTTCAGTAGAATAAATGGCTACATCCAACACTGTAATAATTTCTCATTTAATTTATATGACCTAGGGAACCTTACTGATTGAACAACCTTCCTACTTGACCAGACTTTCTCATACTATTGTTTGTTATGTCTCAGTTTTATTGTATTATATTTGTATGAGTGCTGTACCAAAAGTATTGAGCAGTATCGATTTTTGTTTATCATTATTAGTAGACTAGGAATTACACAGACAAGAGATATATATCTGTTTTCTGTAGTCTGGAATTCAGGCCCTGCACATGCACACCAACATGTATCCAAAATCCACCATGGTAAAATGACGGTAAACTGTATAAAATTTCATCAGCATTCCTTGTGAAGGGTACAATTCTGCTGCAGATATTTCCGATCAGCTTAGTCGAGTCTATGAGGATTCCCACAGGGATGCCAGAAATGAACGACATTGGGTGAAACTCCTCACAGATGGCGAAAAGGACATCACTCATCTGCCTCACAGTGCTCAACTAGGAAATCCATCATGGAATGAAACAAGCAGAAAGTTGATGTACTAACCACAGAAGGCTGAAGGGCAACAGCTAGTAAAATCGTAGTGCAGCCTGGCGTTCGACACACTGGTGTGCTGGAGATTATAAAGGCTATGGGGTATTAAGAAGCATGTTGTCGTTGGCTTCCTTGATTATTGATGTATGACCACAAAAGGCATTTATGGATGTGTCAAACTGTTTCTACAACATGATGTCAAGGATGATGACTTCCTACTGTATGTTATGACTGCTGATGAAAGCTGGTTCCAACATTTTGGCTCCAAAATAAAACAACATAGCATGGAGCTATATCTCCAAAGAAAAGTAGGGCAGAGTCTTAAACCCCAACAGAAAAAATTATGGGAACAATTTCCTGCGTTGCTGAGGGGTGCATACAGATAATATTCTGTATTTTCTGCTTGAAATTACAAAAACGCAATTATGTTAAACTACAGGTTAATGACTACTTGTCTAAGTCCCTTTTTTTGTGCGATCAGCTCTATTATGAACCAATTTTTCTTTGTTTAATTGGTTATCTCACCGTACAATACAGTCAATCTGTTAATTACTGTTGCATCATGTAAGAATGCTCTGCAGTATAAAATATTAAAATCTCCATGAAAGAAGGCGGAATTTTAGGCTTGTTCTACTGTTTCCACTGATTTTATGAGAGCTGAAGAAGAACATATCATATATAAAACCATACAATTTTTATTGTTTCAATGATCACGGGATAAACATCCAGTCCTTTTGGAGAACAGCCAAAGGCTCAATAATTCTACCACAGATATAATATTAAAGTATATGATAACAAACATTTGAACAATTATGTACTTGGAGACACAAGAATATTAAAATTGTTCACCGCTTCCATAATTTACATTCATCTCTGCATCTGAAACAAATTCATGATGAGAATTTCCTTTATCTAAATCATGTATCTTTGCATCTGGTTCTAGCTGTGCAGCTGGGTTATGGAATATATGGTACCCTACCTCCAAAGTAGAATCATGAGCCAGCTGCTCCAGGTGCTCTGTGTAATTTGTACTCATTCCATATGGACAAGGTAATGTGGACACCATACCATGTGGCACTGGCTCCCACAGGAATTTTCCCCTATCTGTCCTCAACAACTCACCTGGACATTGTTCTGAAAACAGAAATACCATGAACCATTGAATACAAAATTACATGGTTCAAAATTACAGAGATATTAGTGTTATAACAAAAATGAGACTAAAAATGTACTGTCAAGTCTTGTGTGAAAACTGCTTGTGTCATTTATAAAACTGATCACAAATTAGAAAGGGTCCCTCTATAACTATAATTATGAACACAAAGCTTTCAAAATAAAGCACTCTGAATGCAAATCCTGGTCTGGAACTCACGTGGTAGCTTGGAAAAATGTTCTGAACAACTGAATAAATGCTGTCACAAGCATATGGCTACTGGAGGACAACATTTAAAATACAAAGCTTCATAAGGATGACCAGTTCTGAGACTTGATTCCTGCTATGTAACTTACTGAACCTACCATGCATACTATCGGAGTGAGTGTTTGAATTACCTTTCATTTCACAGAACTGTCCATGATAACCTTGATGACATCTGCACTCAGTGTGATCAATTAAGTCAACACATTCTCCATTGTTTTGACATGGTTGGGACTGACATAGATCTGAAATATTAAAATGTCCATAATAACTGCAAATTAACAAAAAAGATTTAACCCCTCATTGATTACATTTTCCACTGTTTGTAATCACTGATAATTCTATCAAGTAGTTTTTGTTTCACCTTGAATCTATTTTCCCATATGATTGTTTATATTTTAGATTCAAACTTATTCCTATAGCATCCACTGGGAGAAAAACTGGCGGCTGAAGTGGTTCACCCCTTCAGAGATCTTTGTATTCTGAGAATATTAAACTATAAAGACCTGATGACATCAATCTCTGTCTTGACAACTGCTAATAATCCCAAGCTCTGTCCTACTCATTCAATGTTCACTAAACTGGGTATATCACTTAACAAAATTCAGAATTGTCATGTCTGAGAATTTTGAAGTTACTCAGTATGTCAAGAAATTCCCAGCCTTTTATGAAACCAGAACTTTCATTACACCACTTCAAAACACACTGCCACTGTATCACGATATCATGAGCCAGCTGATTCCAGTTCACATTCATACTATCTGCATGCAGTTTAATATTATTTTCAATGGCATATTATTAAGATAACGGTTAGCTGAATTCGTTGTGCGCCTTGTATGTCAATTACATAACACATCTACTGCTTAATTAACACTTAAATTTAAAATAATAAATTATTTCCAACTTACCCACATCCCACTCGCAGCGTTTTCCATTGTATCCAGGTGGACATTCACAGGAAAAATCATTGAATGCATCAGAGCAGGTTCCTCCATTGAGGCAAGGACGTGCCATGCATTCATTGATTTCATCTTCACAGTAATCACCTTTAATTACAGTGAAATTATACAGCAGCAAATTCAAAATAACATATGAAATAACTAACACATAACGAAGCAGAGCTCAATAGGATAGTGCAAAATAAAGAAGTCTGCACAATCCAGCACTCAACTATGAGAATAGGTTAACTGTTGGTGCAAAACAGAGTTATTTATTTTACACCAGTCAATGAAATTTGTAACCTGAGCCTACAACTTAAGAACATGAAATTGTAATGACACTCTCATTGACATAAAAGTTAAAGCAATTTACTCTCTCTGCAAACAGCCAAGTGCTAGGTCAGAGATGAAGCCCTAGACTTAAAGACCATGGATGTGATAATGATCTGCCTTATCAGGGCTATCACACATGTCAGAGGGTGGTCAGAGATAAATATGAAACAATGGTGGAATGATGAATTTTGAATTATTTTATTGTTTCTTGTTTCATAACCCATTTTTCATAATTTCAAAATTCCTTAAATTTACCATTAAATATTACATCTGACTTAAAATGATAAATATGACTGTCATATATATAAACCTCTAAATATTGAGTTATAATAGAAATTAGCAATAAATAGGATATATAATGTTCGTATATCCATACAATTATCTTATCTGTACTATGTGTTTTCCTTTTTAAAAGTAATATTCCACAATGAGTATTCAAAATATTTCTAAAATCAAATTCAGAACTAGATTTTTGACTTCAGTATCCACAGAATGATACTGAAATCCAACATGCAGAAGAATGGATATACTGAGATTAATTATATATCCATTAACCTTGTTCTTAGGCTTAAATCAAGAACAGCATGTTACACATGACCCTTATTTTATTCATTAAGCTTCAGCCTCTAAAAAATGTATTTTCTGTCCATAGTCCTCTCAGAAAACGCCTATCTCCATCAAGAATCTAGCTACTGCTTACAAATTTCCCTTACCTTCAAACCCAGCCTGACAGTTACAGTAATAATCTTCAAGGCCATCCACACAGGTTCCGTTATTTTCACACTGATTTGTCTGACAGTCATCAATATTGGTTTCACAGTGAAAACCTTCAGAACCGAGAAAGAATATGATCATATATAGATTCAAGAGTGAGGAAATTTTTCATCTAATGCATTTAATGCACATTTCACCATTATTCTGGTTAAATATAAAGTTGTCCTTGTGCTTAATAAAGCACCATATCATGAAGAAAACTGAAGTATAGCTGGACACATTTTTAACCTGGTCACTGGATGGAAGGGAACAGCCAAGTCCACACCAGGCTGCATAATCCCTTGGGAAAATGGCCTCCAGTACCAATTGGATAGAAGACTGGGTAGGATCCAGACTGAGTATGAATGCTGTGGAGAAGAGAACATCCTCTACTCCTGATGGGAATCGAACCCTGGTTCATGAACATTCAACTTATATCCTAGTCATCATATTGTCTGAGCGATATGTCTTCTGTGCTATAAATTCCCAAATTACTGCAACGATACAACCATGTTAATATTCCATTTAACTATATGCCTGATGTATTCATATGTATAAAACCTAGAACAATGTAGGTGTTCTGTAACAGAAACAATACCCTATGCAGGTTTTGGAGGCTAAGATGAAAGTAATAAAATTCAAATCAAATGAAAAATAATTTCTCATGTTAGGTGAATTAAATAATTATGAGATTTAATCAATAAATTCATAATAAAATTTGCTATTATAAACTTACCTTCATATCCTGGAAGACACTTACAATAGTATGATCCTACTTCATCAATACATGTTCCTCCATTCTGACAAGGATCTTCCTTACATTCATCAACATTGTACTCACACACATTGCCTGTAATCACAGAGAATATACAGTGTGATCATTGCAAAGGTGTTTCTGTGTAAAGGTAAGAACCACGTGTATTGACAGTCAACCAATCATACATCTGTGCAATGTCTTATCCATATTCAGAATATTCTGTGGCTATACTTGGGATATGTTACTGTAGGTTTTCTGTCTTTAAGTCTTTTGCTTCCATGCCTTTCAAGCACTGACATGGCATCCAGTTTATATTTCCTAACAGGTACACCAAAACTACTATTCTTATTCCTTGATGTTCTCTGGCTAGTCAAATGATTGAGATCACCGCTTTCTACTGGAACCAACCACATAGATGTATCCCTACCTTTTCTGTAGAGGAAGAAATAGTGTGTTCCATTTGAAATACTAGACAACGAACAATGTCTAGAAACCCAGAGATACTAAGCATCCTTAGAACCATTTAGAATTGCTTTACTCATAACTTCAGTGTTTTTGTTACCTTCCATATTATTCAGTATTAGAGGGGGTGGGTTTCCCCATGCACCGCGACTAGTAGTCTATTGTACATCCCCCTTTAATTTCTACTGTCCCCATACCGTACCAGTACTGGTGCTCGCTATCAGCCCCTTTCTGCCAGCGAGGTCGGCCCTCTTCTGGCAGTGGTACCCGATAACTTCCCCATCTACCGGAGGCATTGGAAACTACTTGGGTGGGAGACATTTTGCCTAATTTTGCTCAGAGGTCTCCTAGAGACATGAGGATCTTTTACGTGCCATAAATCTAGGACATGGGACCCATGACTTAAAGTCCCTCCTGGAGGACTTGTTCCCTGAATATTTCCGCCCTTAAAAATTTCACGACCTCCGCTGGGTTTGAACCTGCGTACCTTGAGTCATGAGATGGGAACGTTACCCCTAGACTACGAAGGCCGCCTTTGTTACCTTACTACAATTGCAGAACAGATATGAACATGCTAAGTGTGAGAAGTTAAGAACCTTTATCTTAATGTGGTTTATTTTATAATAATATCATTATTTGAACTCTGTAGCACTGACTGGTAAGATAACTGATGAACTGGAATGGATATGGAAGGAAGCGATTGTGGTGTAAATGTGGTAGTACCTTAGAATTTTCCAGCCAGGATTAAGAAAAACCACAAAATATCTCAGTCAGCAAAGTTGGTACCTGTGGAGACTGAAACTGGATGTATCCCAAATTTAAATCAGAAGTGTTACCACCTGAGAAACTTGCTTGCTACTTATCACAAAGAACTGATGATTGATTAATTTAAATACACAGTGATTATAAAATGTTCTTAATTTATTAATAATATTTTATTACACTTCTGGACTATTTCTCATCACAGAAATATCAGACTACATGAATTCACAAGTTCAAGTCCCTGAAGATCGTCATTGTATCCAGCATAAATTTCTTGTTACCAAATTTAATATAAATTTGCATTAAATACAGACTACGTATTTCTGAAACTTGACTTGTAATTACAAACTTACGTCTGAAAAGGAATTTGTCTTTTATCAGTATCTATGCCTAAGCTATAGGCATCTCATAACTCTACAAATGTGAGTTGTGGGTTCAACTTGTCATGTGTCAAAATAGTTTTTAAAATACAAAACCACAGCATGCTTGGAGAAGTAATGCCAACATTCATAATGGTTTAAAATTATGATTTAATAAATATCCATTACTTCAACTATGATCAGCAGAAAAACTTATTTCACATACCCATTAAAATGAAATCTTATGTGAGGAAACGTATTTTATTATAAGATATTCAAACTCTGAAAATAACAATTTTTGTGTCTGCAACTGATTACTTTCTCTGCGTGTACTGCAGTAATGCCTGCAAAATACATCACACATATAAGTACAATCCACCTCTCTAGAAATCACTAAAGAAACTAAATCCTGGCAATAAGAAGGAAGCAAGGAATACCTTCAAATCCAGGTGCACACACACACGTAAAGTTGTTCAGTCCATCAATGCAAGTAGCAATGTTTTGACATGGATAAGGCTCACATTCATTTATGTTGACCTCACACAAATTTCCTACAATGAGAGGAAAGCGAGAACTGAAGTACAGTAAATTGGGGTATTATATAAAGAAGAGCTCTGTCATTCATACAAGAAACAATTATGATCATAATATCTGGGAAGCTAACTGGGTGATACATGAAATGCATACACAATTTTGGTGGAAAAACATCTTGAAAAGACTTGGAAGACTGTAAAGTAGATGGAAAAATAATCACAAGATGGATGTTAGGGAGTACAGTTTTGAGGATGAGAAGTGGATGGAACTGGCTCTAGATAATGTCAGATTGTGGTCTTTTTTGATTATGTAATGCAACTGAAATCCATATTATTGATATTAATTTCCAAATACCTAAAAAAAACTGAATTTTTGTTTGTACAAAAAACAGAAAGGTGACCTCTGAAAAGTATTTTAATAAATGATCGATTAATTAATGACAAAACAAATACACATGGAACTATTTTCAGACAAAGAAGTAAGCCTTTTCTTTCATAGCTGACAATATTGACTTCACAGCTACTTTAGAACCACTGAACAAATCTAATCACACATATACTGATGATTTGTTGTCTCCAATTGACCTTCCACGAATACTTTTACAATAAATATGATTTTAAGGTAATTCTCTGTAGATCTCATGTGTACAAAATTACAACAATTTTTTTTTTTTCACTCTCTTAAAAATCAGGACGCGAAATCATTTTATACATATGATTTTGGATGAATATTTTGACGTGCTGTCTGAAAGCTGGACTATAAAACGTCCATCACTAATCACTGACTATTACTTCATAGGCAGTGATGACTAGGAAATCGTTGCCCTGGAGATGAAAGTCCAACAGTAGGGTTTCCACCACTACAAACGAATTGTTTCAAGCAGACACATTTTCCTGCAGCTTCAAGAGATTTGTTGCATAGCAGCGGGCTTAAATTAGCCCTCTGACAAGGTGTTCCCTATTCAGTCTGAGTGCAGGATATAACAGTTCATATTTTGCTAGAGCAGGAGTTAGTTCATGTCTGATGAGAGCTAAGGTGAGTTGATCTCTGAGCAGAGCAGAAGACAATTCACTGAGATTAAGAGTGCAAGCATGTGTAACAGTGAAGAGGAAACGTCCAAAGACGCTATAAGTGTGAATAACTGTATTTGTGGGTGTAAAGAGCGATCGCACAATAAATATGCGTCCAAATCTGAGACCCACAAAATTTCTTGTCGCGTTGCTTAGGAAACACGCGACACTATCATAGCTGATGGAATGTACTCATGGAATTGTTCGTGTAGGAATCCCACGAATCTTATTTCTATCACTGCATGTTCATAAACCCTGCCTACTGTGAAGCTCTATCACTAATACCCATGACATATATGCAGGACAATTCAAAGTCCTATGGCCAGACATTAGGGGGTTACGGTTGCAGGGAGATAATTTGAAGCAGAAAATGTACATAAATCACTATCTGATTCATTACCCTTTTCAACTTGAGAACTTCTGCCACCTGCAAGAAAATGAAATATCTGTCCATTAATGTAAATATTTGGTTATTTGCATTTAATATGTAGTCTTTTTCATTTTTAATTTTATGTTATTTAACACACATGAATAGTAGTATAGTGGGGACCCACACACAAAAATTGCCCAAAGTTACCTCCTCCAGCTTACATGCAAACTTTACAGCTGCATTTAATTGAGACCCTGATATGAACCAGTTGTCTAGGTTAGCCCCTAATGTCTGTTGTCATTGCAACACTGTGGCTCATCAGGTTGCTGCAATCATGTACTTCTGCAGCATGAAGATTTCTTTGTTTCATCCTCATAAGAAGAAGTGAAGTGAGTTCAGTTCAATAGAAGATGGCGACCAGACAACTGGGTTCTCACAGCACCTATATAATGGTTGTTCAACCAACTGTGCACTTGGCATGAAAAGTGTTGTGCTGTATCCACATACCATCATAAAATGTTAAGGGGCATATATTGCAACAAAAGAGCAAATTTTCTTTCAAGGAAATCAGAATGGTAGATTCCATAGAGTCTCTTTTCTATCATGTTAGACCTAATTATGTTACTCTCCATTATTCCAGCCAATACACTGATCTTTGTAGAAATGAACAGCACAAAGTAGTATTAGGATTCTTTAGTGCCCATTTATGGAGGCTGTGGAGACTGTTTAACCATTCCTTGTGAACGTTGCCTGCTCAGGCCCCTGTTACATGACCCAAGCTTGGGGAAAGAGTGCATGCATGTGCCTGTCTTTACCAGAACTACTCAAATTCGACACCACATTTTAGCTTCCAGATTCTTTGCAAATAGCTCAGCCTCAGCTGATGGCTGAAGACAACACGAACAAACAAGAAGTTTCACCTGTATAAAGACAATGTGGAGAGAAGAAACTGAGTGAAGTAGTTGAGCTAAGCAGACATGTGCTACAATGCAAGGGAAACAGCTGTGAACCGCTTTACACAAGAAACACTTCCAACTCTAAACAGGAAACATTTCTCTATGAGTATTCTTTGCATAGAGTCCTTCACCCCCAGAAAAAGAACAACACAATGCTGCTCTTTGGTGGCACAATCCTCAAGCATGGTTGCCATTTTGAAGACTGAAACAAGCATCTGAACATTCGCATGTGCATCTGCTACATAGGCTGTCATGAAGGTGGACTGTGCTGTTACCTAGAGTAAACAGCTACCAGCTGTTTTACTTCCATTTACTGACTCTCCCTCATATAAATGTGATTTAAATCAGTTCTTACCTGTATATCCTGGTTTACAAAGGCACTTGTACTTTGAAGTTGTGATGTTTGTACATGTGGAATTGTGCTGACATGGGGATCTTGAACAGGGATTGAAGTGTTCACACAAGGAGCCATAGTATCCCTCAGGGCAGTCACATGTAAACATGTAACTCTCATTACTGTAAGAAATTATGTTCCTTGAATGACAGAACCAAGTTATGCATAGTTTTAAATTTGTCACAGTTTTTCAGAAGTGACAGAACAATTAATCAAAGGGTGGGAACATGCTCTCTGGTTTAGGGTTCCTCCATATGTGTTACATGTTCTAACCATAACATCTTCTCTATTAGAAGGGAAACTTAAATCATGATATAACGCCATGTAGTCCAGCAGATGTTTACCAATGTCTCATACGATCATACTGCTTACTTCACACTCAATATTAGTAATTTTTAAAATAAATATAGCCCTACATATGGTATAAAATATATCTTATAACAGACAATAATGTCTGACATATTTTTAATGCAATTGTGGGAACATCCCACATTATCACGCATTTCTGCAACACTCGCTCTTCACATCACTTTTCACCATCACGCGCGCTAACCAATCTGATTGCTTCAAACGTTCATATTTATACTGGGATCGCTCCTGGCCCGCATCTACGTCATTACGCGCGCTAGCCAATCAATTCTTCCTCCTCACTTTCGAGTTTGGCTCCGCCCCACCGACCAGCGTATAAAAAGGAGCGACTCCAAAGCAGAATTATTCAGTTCGATTCAGTTCCATTCAGTTCCACGCAGTCCATCATCAGTCTACAGGCTAGCCACATCAAGCAACTTCAGCCAGCAGGCTCCGTCGCCAGCGCTCGGTCTTCGGAGGTACCGGCAGGCTGCGCCAGGCACGACCGCCTCGGCCCTCCAGCGCTCTCACACCCGACTTACTGGGGCACCGCGCCTGGACTCGCCGGTGGTCGTGTTACGGTCCGACTCACTGGGCATCTGGCGTAGCCACTGCCTCATGGCTCCTACGACCGCGCTCAACGACTAGCCTTTTCACCAGCCATTCACCGTAACTAGCCTTTCTCCTTACCGGCGCGCACCGCCCTACCTCACCAGTCAAGCATCTCAGCCACCACGGTCCTTTTCAGGGCCAACAAACTGTTCCGAAGAAGTGGGTTGTCATCGGAGTAATGACAAGACTACACACGTTGACAAGAGCCCCACACAATACAGTAACAACTTAACAAAATTATTCCTAAAATGTTATTTAGGCCATAATATGAGAACCAGCTGTGTTTTATTTTAACTACCTCATCTTGTATTTTAATTCATGTAAGAACTCTGAATGTAAAATATCACTACTGAAGTCAAATAACTTAAAATTGAAGACAGAAACAGCTGGTGAGCTTTATTTTTCCTGAGTGCTTTAATGTTTACAATCAATGTTTCTTTTTACCATGAAGTTCAATTTAATATTTAATTTTCACTTAACAGTAGTTGTAATGGGAAGTCATGAACATGTCTGAGAAATATAAAAAACATGTTGGGTTGAGTCAAATAAAGCAAGATGTAAAATAGTTGTCATATGTATGTGTGACTATTCACAGGGTTCGGATTGGTTCGCAGATTTATGGGACATTTACAGGTCTTAACTACAAATAACTTTAATAACACTATCACTATTCCCACATTTTACAGTTCACTAAAGTACACAGTCTAGTGTTCTCAGTCTGTCACTAAGAGTTTCCTGGTAACAGCTCCAAAAATGGCTATTCCTCTGCCTCCGGGCTCAAGTCCTCTATTCACAGACTCCCGTACAAAACCGAAATCAGTCACCTCAATTTTCTTCCTTGAAACTCCTCGCCATGGACTGAGTAGAAAACACAGTTTCTGTCAGTACCTCTAATGTTGCACATCGATTCATTGCTCTGGAAACATGTTTACCGAGCCATTGCCCAGAAATGAGTCTGGTATATTTGCTACCTTGCAGTCATTGAAATAGTTACAGCTCTACACGCTAAAATATCAAATATTAAGCTATATTTGGAGTTAGAGGTAATACTACAGTAATGTTCTCATTATCCGATATCCCAACATCTTGAACTGTCATTAAACTAACAAATTTTGGAATAAAATTTACAATTTTTGTAAAGTTATTCAAAAACGAATTTTCAACAAGCACATGTTCACCCATCTCATGGTAGTTCTCCCAGCTACTATTAGCAGTGCCAACCACAATCCTAACTAAAGCAGGTGCCATTACAGTAAAGGCTAGCTAAATTTGTGATCATATTACAGTATATGTATCGAAAAACTTTCACCCTTCAATCTGCTATGTTGCCTAAAATCTCCCACAAAGACCTTATGTGAAAACGTGTTGTTCTGATTTTGTATTGGGTTTCTGTGAGAGTTTCTCTCATGCAGATAGATAATTTGTGTAACTGGCACACCTCGTTCATGTTACAAGCTGAATAACAGGAGTTTAATACTTGGGAGTGATAAAATTAATTGGTAGTTATGTAATTATGTGAAATATGTTTAAAAACAAATTAGTCTTCAACAGCTCATGACACAACTTTGCAAGTAGATGGAAACAATATTGTGCATGCTTTGGTTTGAGGTTGTCATGGGAGTGAAGATTCACATTGTGGTCTTCTGGGATATGCCACCATGTTGACTAACAAACAGTTATCAAATTACACCCTGAAGATGGAGGCAGAAGATGCTTCCAGAATATTCTTACCTATTAGACCCAGAAAACTACAACCTAAAACTGAAGGATCATTTTGAAAGTGAGCCTACCTTTTGCATAAACCCCCATTCTGGCATGGTGGCTCTGTGCTGTTGCAAGGATTGAAGAAGGAGCAGTCATCACCGTAGAAGCCCATGAGGCAAGTGCAAGTGTAGTCAGTGGAGTTGATACTGTGACAGCTCCCTACAAACATACAGGTGCAGACAGTGCTTCAGCTGCAATTATAGTGAGTGTCAGAAGTCAGGCATAAATTTTCACTGCAGGAGGGTAGGGAGTGTTGCAGTTACAATGTGTTTTGCTCCATGGAACATGGTGCCATTATCACAGAGAAGTACTAACAATGCTGCATACTAACACCCTACACAAAAGTTACATTTCCATTTCCAAGGCACGTCATCATGTTACATGAACATGATTCAGTATCACAGTTTGTTTTGACTGCTCCATGCTATGCAGAGTTTGGAGAAAAATGGCACACACAGGAGCAGCATCAGAATTTGTGGTGTGCGAAGGCCCCACATGTGGGATCTCGCCTGCAGGCCATAAAATCAAAACTGTGACTGCATAGCAGTATCCTGTATCTGGCAATTGCTATGAAATACATGAATTTCTGTAACTGAACATCACACAGAAGCATGGATTTAAAGTTCCACACACCTTAGACAGCAAGGGCAATAACAGAGGCGGATGGCCAGTTTCATGCTGATTAATGGTGAGGAATGTTAGTTAGCATTTATGTGTATGCAATTAATTATAAAGAAAATTAATTCAGTTCTTATTACAGTATTTTCCTGTTTTTATTTATTTTATTTTTGCTTCTTTATCAATGCTGCTAGTAGCTTGGATTATATTGTTTCAAATGGTAGGATGATTAGTGAATAATGAATTTGAAAGGACAGGGAAGGAAGATGTCATAGTACAATTTGACATACTCTCCCCAGAATTTGCCTGGATGTATTAAGGAGAGATATAACAAACTTCATTCAGGACGGTGAGTGTCCTAGCCAAAATTCAAACTAGGAAAATTTCAAATACTAAAAGCCAGAAGCATTATTGCTTCACTCAAATTGCTCAATAATTTTTCATTTCTATTTCAATGATATTCACCTTTAAAATACTGTACATATATGTATGACCTATATGTATATGACTCTGCAAGATGTGACATTAATATTTTCACAGCTAGTGTCAAACAGACTCATGTGACGTTCATGTAAGATACATATTGTGGTCTTCTGAGTTGTGACACCAGATGACAATGTTTCAGAGAAAAACACTGCCTCCATTCTCAGGCTGGAAATCAGACAAGTTGGGAGAACTGCTGGTTATGCAAAGGAGTGGGGTAGATAAAAGTAGCCCATAAGAGCCAAGACCGGACTCTGGCTGCCAACGTTCATTTTCCATAACCGGTTTCTGTTTCCCCTTCTTCTACATGGCTAGCAATTCGCATCAACTATGATGATGAAGGTTGTATGATTTCATGGTATTATAACCTGAAAGACCACAATATTACATAATACTATTTGTGCACAAAAGGGCAAATACTATCCTGTTAATTTGTAGGGATTCTGACTGATGTTCAGGATCAGAAATTTCAGAGTGAAACTGTTGCACAGCCTATAACTAATTCTCTAGTCATGAAGACGCTTATGAATCCAATTTTACAATAATTAACTTCAGTAACTGGTAATATTTTTGTGGATGGCACAAGATCAAGCTCAGCTTCTAGATCTCCCATACTTAATGGTCTGCCAGACTATGGTGCCCATTTTATTTACAATTAAAACGGAGAGGGATTAACTAACAAAAGGAAATCATGCTCAAACCCTAGATGGAGTACTTATATAAGGAAGATCACATTGCTTCAACAGATACTCACAAATAAATAATGGCTAAATATTTCAGACCCTTTTCAAAAAGAATGGAAAGAAAATGAATGAGCCTGCAACACATAAATATTACAGAGAATTTATTGAAAAATTCAACGTTTCTTTTCTAAGTAAAAGTAATGCTGGACAAAAGGACATGGAAAAACATGCGTGAGCACACACATGAATGCATGCATGTGTGCACGTGTGCACAGACTGGAAGGAGAAAACCATTTGCACATGATGCATAAATTACATCAGCAATGGGTACTTGCATTATAACAGGCAAAATCAAAAACATGGCCTCATTGTTACTCAGTTTGTACATCACAGGTGTTAAATGATGGTATAAGCATGCAAAACCGATGTGTGGAGAAATAATGACCTTTCACATGAAATATTTCTGTTGTTGCTTGAAGGTCAATTGTGGAAAGTATTGTAGGGTTTTGTGTGCAACTATATTTATCCCAAAACAGGCTTGGAATTTCTAGCAGGCAATACTGTGACAGCATTTGGCATTAATCTCAGTTAGTATAGATTAATTTGCAAACTCAATATAATAATGAAAAAGAAGGGTGGTCCAGAATTAGCCAGGAAGTTATAATTTGCATTAGTGATCAAATGCATTAATTATGCAGTTATGAAGTTAATAGGATTTTGCTGCAGTTTTGAGACAAATAGATGACAGATTAAAAACTGCATGTCCAGTATCCATTTCTATCCTGTTCTGGGTTTAGTGAATTTTCTGATATACAATCATTATTGTGAACTGAAATAATATCAATTTTTTATTCTTTTCATTTGTTTACTGAAATTCTAAAACACTGAAGCATGATACCAGGCATCTGCTCTCCACCCTGGAGTTCTGAAATTTAAAATTGATAAAAGAAGGAAATATGTCAAATATTAATAACAAACATTAAAATTATTTAAATGTGGTGCCAACTATGTTTCAATATAGAGGGTCACAGTTCTTGAGTGGTACATGAAGATAACCTCATACAGCCAAAACATAAGACTCCAAGCAAATTTTTTTGGCTTAAGACTTTTGGAAGATATCTTGATGGTGCCCCCACACTAAGTTCTATAGCAAGGCCACACCATAGCTCAAGCGGTTAGTCGCTGGTTTCCCACCGCGGTGGCCTGTGTTCAATCCCGAGTCTGTTGAAGTGGGATTTGTGGTGGACAAAGTGGCGCTAGGGCAGGTTTTCTCAGAGTACTTCGGTTTCCCCTGCCAATCTTCATTCCACCAAATTCTCCATCATCATCATAATCACCCGGGGCAGGCTACAATAGGCCAATCACTGCCTGACGTGCCGAGTGGACCCAGTTGGATTCACCCTGATAAGCGAATTAAAAAAAAGGTTCTATATCAACAGACGTTCAAAATGCTTGGTTTTGTAAAGGAAACTATTGAAAATGGCACACATTATGTCACTGATGCTAAGAGTACAATATTTCTGTACCAGAATGTGTCGAATTTTATTTAGAGAAAATTTTCATAGTAAGAAGATAACACATATGGAGAAGCCCTTATGTAAATCTATTCCAGTTTGTCAAGTATAATGGGTAAGGAAAATCCAAAATAACGATTATTGTACTAGCATATACAAAATCTGGAACTGATACTAGCTTAACTTAGTTCATTATCCTATAAAACTAAAAGTACAACACTTAATTTCTTCAAGATTATGGATATAGAGGCACAGACAAATAATCATAACTATGCAGATGCATTTTAATTTTCGACTTACGATTTACTCGCGTATTGAATGGTATAGGGGCACTGGTGATGCCCACTTCATCCCTATTCCAGCCAGCTACCTGGACACTGTAGTCTGTCCCCTTGATTAAATCACTTACTGCAGTACAAAACATGTTGTTCTTCTTGCCCAGCTCACTAACACTCACATTTCGAAAAAGTGAGCTTACGTTGTTATGCAACAATATTAAGTAGCCGAGTGGAAGCCCACTAAGTGGACTCTTCCAGCAGAGCATACACCATCTGTCACCTGTTCCAGCAACTGTCACATCTCTCGGAGCTGTGAGACATAAACATTATATATTATCCACTTGAAACACAATTGGTTACCATCTGCTTTGAACATTTTGCTGAAACTATGTTTCTTATGATTTCAGATTATTTCCATAAAAGCAATGAGAAGGTGGTCTTTGTAACTGAGATACATTATAATGTTATATTTTAGCGTCCTGTTGCACTGATTAAAGTCCATGATTTATTTCAACCGTCTTCCAGTGCATACACTCATCTATCTCACTCCTCTCTCTCGCACTACATGTTTCGGCACAAAAGTGCCATCTTCAGGTGATTATTCGATTTACGCTAAACTAGTTCTATAAACTAGTATAACACACGCAGTCACAGGAGCAAGACAACACAAAGCACAATACACACACGAAAGTAGAAAGAGTGCTCCAACAGAAGAGGATAGGTGTGACTCGCGTAGTGAGATACAACGTAGGGATGAAAAATCCTGAACAATTTTAATATTTTTAATATTTAATATTTATCAATATATATGATAAATATATATTTTAGTTATTTTAATATGAAGACGGCAAGGCATGCAGTGAACTAGTTTATCGTAAATCGAATAAGCACCTAAAGATGGCACTTTTGTGCTGAAACATGTAGTGCGAGAGAGAGGAGTGAGATAGATGAGTGTATGCACTGGAAGACGGTTGAAGTAAATCATGGAGATATATTATGTTTACTGTTAGGTATAAAATGAATTCCTAAACATTATTTAGATAAATTGCAAGCTTCAAAGGGTTAATTTGGTTTGAATACTTCCTTTTTGTCAAAACTTTTGAGATATGTTCATGTTAGTGTCAGTAAACCCTGAGTGGTGCATCAGAGAGAAATTTAGAGAAAAGTGGAAGCTGTTACATCTCAAAATTTGTGAAAGTCCTGCTTCTTTTTACGTTTTTATGAACAAAAATATTTCTTTTTCAGAGAAAAGTGGAAAGAAAATACAATTAATGAGCCAATCAAATAATTCAAAACACAATTAATATAAAAATGACTCACCTGACAGTATTTTGATTGTGATGGTAAGTTTTGTTCTGCCACTACGCTGAGGTGAACCCCCATCCTTTGCAGAGATGGTAAATGCCAGTTGTTTGTACTTTTTAGACAAACGTTTATGGAGTGTCACAACCCCAGAGGACTGATTCACTGTTACCACATCCTGTGGAGTCTTCACACTGTAGTACACCTCTGAGTTGTATTGTTGTGTGTCTCTGTCTACGGCCCTCACAGTTAGAATGTCAGTGGGGACCTGTGTCAGAACATCAAGCTCAACCCTGCAAGCAGAGAGAAGTAGTGGCATTCTTTTCTTGAATATTAATAATTCAAATACCAGTGAAAGAAGGAAGAGAAGCAGAAGGAACAAGAGTAGAAGTAGAAGAAGAAAGAAAGAAATGAAGGATAAAAACAAATATTCAAAATGCTGTACAGGAAATATGATTTTATCGATAGATTTCAAAGTCAGTACACTGAATGTTGGAACTGAACAAGTGATAGTATTTCTGCTCCATATTCAGAGGTTCCAGATCTAATATCCGCTCTGAGATCAGATATCCTGATCTGTTTTACTTTGTTCCCTCCAGTCCATAATTTCAGGATAGTATTTCAAAATATGCCAAGATTGCTTTCTTTCCGTATAAATGCAAGTTCATTATTAACTAATAATCCTATCATTAGGTGCTATTGTAACGTGTATACCCATTGTTAGGCCACTGGTCGGTAAACACATTCCCGCAACACACGAGAATGCAACAATAGACGCCTACTGCGCTGACAAGGGCCTGCAGCATATACAAAAGGCAAACCAATCCTCTCGTCAGAGAGGGTGCCCCACAAAAACAAGACCGTTACTGTCAAGGAGTAATACATATCTAATCATGAGCCCCAGATTGGGCTCGACATCAAGACTGACTGACCGTCAGTCACAATGTGACTTTCACTTTGATTTTAACATAAGCGACAAACCCATCTTCTCGTCCGAAATGTTACATAAGGACTATCACCGCAAAAGTTAAGTTTGAAAAAAAGGATCTCTGGTCGTAGGCCTCAAGGGGTCTGACGCCAAGACGAACTGATGGCGGTAAAGGGCCAGTCGTAAAGTAACTCTGACAGGAACATCAGTTGTAGATGGAACACAACAGTAGTCGAGAGTAATCAAGTCGAATCGAGTCGAGTCTCGGAATTGGTAGCCGCCGAAATGGAAAGAAACGAATTGGACGGTACCAATAAGACTTCATGTGTGATTTGACGTGCCAGTGAGACTGATAAATTCGTTGCCAGGATATGACTAGTAAAAACTGAGAATCTAGTGTGTGTGCAACGGTTAACTGATATGTGTAGAACAGAGATAGCGCTATAATTGCCTGTAGTCACGATCTGTGTAAATGTTGTGTTAATAAATCCAATCATCTAGTCCAAAACCCGTGATTATTAGTCACGGAACCTCAGGAACGGGAAAATGAGCTACTGACAGCGTCATTTATAAACCATAAATAAACATAAAAAAATTTAAGGTCACTGAAATCGAGCAAAGATCAAAATGAACAGAGATTGCACCCCCCACCCCCCTTTCAGTGCCCTTCGAAATTCTCACAATTTAAATGTGGATTCCTTACATCTTCAGCTCTCTCCCTCTTCGCGTTCTGATGGATGGAGGGGAGTGTGCAATGCAGGTAGGCTGAGGAAGCAGAGGCCTGCCTTCAGCCTGCATTAGCCACGTTCACTCCTATCCTGTCTATTCATTTTTTTGGTCATTCTATAGAATTATGAAGTAACGTAAAATTCTATACGTGAAGTGAGGAAGATAAGCGAATGTTGGGCCTGGAAGCATACGACAGGGGGTGTTTACCACAGGAAGCATTCGCTTGGAGACGAGATACTCTTTGAAATCATAGCATGTTCTTTCCAGTAACTTCATATGTCTATCGTTTACGTATATTTTTAAGACTAATTTATACTAGAACATTTTTAAGTCGAGCCTCAAAAGTATTATTTTTCCAAATGGACAATGACGTCAAACTCTCAATAGCAGAGACAGTAGGAAAAAAATTTCACAACTTTCACAACCTATTGATCTTTCCTTGTTTTACTTTGAGAGGGTTGTGATGAATGGAGGTAATAAAGAAAACAAAGAACTGGGTGAGTGGATTTCGCATTTGTTTCCTAGAAAGAATCTTTAAATTCTTTCCACTCCGGTTTGGCACTGGACACATGAAACGCGTGAATGTTTTCAGTGGAAGATACAAATCTTTCAGCACATGCCTTCAGAACCCTTCTGGTGCTGTTTACCTTCTACCACATTTCATTCTTTTACTTTTGGCAATTCGCCTGCCACGACCGCCATTTTGTTATCCGTCTATTTTAACGCGCTACCACACCGAATTGAGCCTATGAAAGGTAATAAAAATACAGCCAGAACTGTCTGAGACTGAAAGTTCAGAAACTTATGCCATTTCACTCCCGAATGTTGTAACCTGCAAGACAATTACCAATGTTAACTGTGAAGGTATTAAATAAAGTACTATATTAAATGCTGGGGCACGCGGTAGCGTAGTTGGTTGAGGGGCTATGCTACAAGCCAGAAGGTTGCGGATTCAATTCCCGATGAGGTTATTGGATTTTTTTTCTAATTTACCTAATCCTTCCAGCTGCACTATGGCCCTGGGGCTGACTCAACCTTTAACAGAAATGAGTACCAGGAATTAAATGAATAATTTTCCTGGGGAGTAAAGCGCGGCCGGTGCGTAAGGCTGACAACCTTACCGCCATCTTTGAGTCGATTGTCTTAGATAATGTGGGAGCCTCAACGTCTCACAAGCCTATGGACCTTCACGGCCTGTTACAGGGATAGCTTTACTTTACTTACTTACTACATTAAATAAATGACTGCTTCATACCAGGAGGCCATGGAAGCAAACAACAATTTTTCCTCAAACAATAAGTGCCAATAACCACAGTGAAAAGAGACTATGTGCCTCATCATCTCATGTTACATTTTCAAGATCTCTGTATATTTTTATAGTCCTCCACAGTCCTTCAGGACCTTATAACAGGTCATTCCTTTGTAAAATCTCAGGATTTCACGGCGGTGATTATAAAAAAAGCAGTCTTCTGGGATGTGGCGCCGTGTAGATGTTGTGTTAACCAACGTTTCGGAGTAACGTATCGCCTCCATCTTCAGGGTAGAAGAATAGAAAAAGAAGAAATCCGCGAGGGAACCAGCGTGTGCAGGCGCAAGGTCTGTTTGCACTTGAAATCTAATATATAAAATACCGGATTACTATCTTGCCCGAATTTTCAAAATAAATTTCCGAAATTTTAATGATCGCCTGTGTTCACCCTGCATTATATTAAAGTGAAAATGAAAGACTACATAGCAGAGGCTGATTAGTAGAATGACGCTACAAAGGACGATCACCGTTCATAGCTTCAAAGGTTAAAAGCATATGCTGAACAACAAATACAGAGTGGCCCAAAAGTCAGTTAACCTACAACATTCTCACATAAGAACGGAAATATTCAGAGTTAAACCTGCCAGTCACTTTTAAGAACGAAATCACAGTGTTATGAGCTGTGCACTGAACAGTGAGAACCTCATTCACAACAATTTTTATAAATTAAGTAATAAAGAAATTTCGAATGTCTTACTAACCACTTTGTACTTTAGTGATTAAGTGCCTCTGATGATTCACGGTCCACGAGTGCGGAACGCATAATACGAAAGTACACATCTCTTCGACGAGGTTCAGTCACTTCTGAATATATGAGATGCTGACTTAATTGCCGGTCACAGTAGCCGAGCGGTCTGAGGCATGTACTGTCTTCGCTCACTTGGAAACCGGGATCGTGGGTTCGGATCTGTTTCCTGTGAGGTACGAACTGAATTCTTATATATTATTCTTATACACTGCCGGTCACAGTAGCCGAGCGGTCTAAGGCATGCACTGTCTTCCCTCGCTTGGAGACCGGGATCGTGGGTTCGAATCCCACTCAGGGCATGGATGTTTAGTCTGTGTTTGTGTACAGGTAGAGGCCTTGCGACGAGCTGATCACCCGCCCAAGGAGTCCTACCGAATGTGTAAGATCTAGAAAAACCGAAGTGAACGGAGAAGTTCATGGAGGTAGGCCTAGGCCCACTGGGGCTGTAGTGCCAAGGAAAAAGAAGGCCTGTCTAACTGCACTAAATTATTACTGCACGCAGTCTGAGGTCACTAATATAATTTTGTGGCGCAACTTTCACGACAATTAACCACAATCGTCTGTATTCACATTACCAAGGAAAGTATGTAATGGTGTCACACGCTTGTGATTAGATACAGCATTCGCATTAATACCTGGATTTACTGAACGCTTTTAGCTCGTAACTGAAAATAACCAAGCCACTCCCACTAATTCATACTCCATAGATCACTACGACTACAGCTCGCATACGTTCTTCAGTTTGTTGACTAGTCGTTGCTAGGTAGTGGCTGCTAACAATGTAACTCAAAACTGAAGACTGCGTCGGATCAGGTGAATTTCTACTGGCCCTCGCCAACATATTTTTGGCAAGGACAGAATAGTGAACGCCGTTTTCAACAGTTTCTCTATTGTTGCGAGTTTATTCATTGCCGCAGAAAAGGTTTTACCGCATCGTTGCCCAGCAAAGGCCGCCCCTTCTTCCACTATTCCATTTACTGCCGTCATGTCACATAAATGCACTATAAGAGGAAAACTACGCTAAACTCTCGAGATCAACACGACTCACAGACGGTAAGGATTGGTACACGAAACTACGTGGTCTGACAATAGAGTTCGCGAACTAATCGCGGTAAAACTGCTACACAGCTCATTGCTGAATGTCACTGTGGTCGCCTTCAAAGTACCCCCATTTGGAACCTATGCACGGATGCCAGCGCCTAGTCCACCTTTTCGAACAATTTTGGAACTGGTTTTGTGGAATGGTCTTCAGAGCTGCAGTTGTATTACTCCTGATGTCATCAAAATGCCTTCCTTTGAATATTTCCTTTATATTCGGGAACAGAAACGGTCATCGGAGGCTACATCCGGTGAATAGGAACGGTGTTCCAGTACAGTTATTTGTGTACGAACTGAACACTCCCTCACAGACAGTGCCGTGTGATCAGGTGAAGAGAGATCCATGAGTTGAAGGCGACGGCACACCGAAACACACTCAGACAATAATAGACGTCACTCAGAATGAGACTGCCATAGATCAACAACAACACAGCTGTGAAACGCTGATATGCCAACGTCATCAAACCATACTGAGGTTTCC